AGACTGGAGTTGTGTGGATTATTGTGATGTTTTTATCAGCTGTTTTTGATCAACAACTCTCGTTCTGATGACACTCATTCACTGCAGAGGATCCATTGGTAAGCAAGTGATGTAATCAGGGCCGTTTTTTAATATCTCCAAATCTGTTCCGATACAAAGAAACAAAGTCATCTACACCTCGGATGGCCTAAAAATGGGTACATTTTCATTTTGGGGTGAAATACTCCTTAAACGTATTTACTTTTAGTCATTGTGTGAGGAAAACTTTAAATAATTGGATTTGCTTGAATAATTATAATTATCTGTTTATTTATACTTTTAGAAATAGTTTTAAGAATAATTACAATTTGTATTCAATTATAAATTATAATATTTGTAATTATAATTTTTTTTTTAATTATTTGTTCAACTGGATTGATGGAGTTGCTCTTATTCTTTCTTTTAAACCCCAGAGAGTCTTGCCGAAGTGTTCCACTGGCTGAAGTTTAAGGTGGTGGAGCACAGAAATAAAACTGCAGCTGAGATGAAGAATCTCCTCAAGGACGTGGGGAAGACAGTAGATGGAGACTGCTTTGTGTGCTGCATCCTCTCGCATGGCATAAAGGAAGGAGTCTGTGGAACCGATGGTGCTGTTATTTCTGTTGATGAAATACGAGAGCCTTTCAATGGCAAAAACTGCCAGAGGCTAGCCGGGAAGCCCAAGCTGTTTTTCATACAAGCATGTCGTGGGAAAAGAAATCAGCAACGTGTGCATGTCCAAGCGGATGCTCCAGATGATGGAGAGTCAGAGATGGAGGAAGATGGTGATGGTTTTAATATCACAATCCCGGCTGACACGGATTTCCTTATTGCCAGGTCAACCACTGATGGTCACCTTTCTTATAGAAGGCCAAAAGAGGGCTCCTGGTTTATTCAGTCACTTTGCCGAAGTCTAAAGCAGCATTGTCCAATGTAAGTTTGTTACATGCAGTTTTTTATAATTGATAAAAAATTGAGTTTTTTGATAATTTGAGTAGACAAAGTAGAGAAAACGATAAAGGATTACATGCACAAAATCTATATGTACTATTAAATAATAATTTTTTAATACATTTTTATGTTTCCAGGGGTACAGACATCCAGACCATCCTGCTTACTGTGAATAATGAGGTTAGTAGTCAGGGAATCAGGAGCAAACAGATGCCCGTCCAAGAAGTCGCCATGAGGAAGATGCTGGTCCTGCTGCCAGTGTGAACCACTGAAAGCTCCTACAGCATACAGCATTTATAAGGCAGTCTATTCTTTACTATTACATTCCAGTTGGTTTTTAAATCAGGAATGGGACTGTTTACTTGAAGGGAATCATAAGCCAGTTGAGTTCAATTTGTTTTTTAGTTTTATAAGTAACTTTTTGATAAAAAAAGAATTACTGCATTTTTGCAAACATGTTTTTCACATTTCTATGTGCTGTCATTTTAATGTTCTATCTGTATCCAATTCAAATACACTGATCCAGGTATT